TGGACCTAAAATTATGGGATTGTATAATTCAGTAGTAAATGCCATGCATCTTAGACTACATTAACTTTTGCTGATTTATCCTGATATGCTCTATTTTGATGTCTTTCTATCTCTCTCTCAATAGCCATCTACCCTTTTAATAGTGCAGTGTTGCACATTTGTTAAGGCTTAAATTGGCTAGCTTTTTCACCTCTGTATTCTGACTCCACCAATGGAGACCTCAGCCAAGCAGCAAGCAGATGTCCACAGAATCATGGTGAGGATTTGTGCAGGAAAATACTAATAAGAAAAGAAAGAAAATAGCCCTGGAAGCCAGTAAGTTCTGTTTATTCACTGACAAAGAAGTGGCTATTTAAAAATGCATTTTCAGGAAGGAAAAAACATCAAGTAAAAATAAAAATTAATTTTAGAAATTTTAGTTTAGATTGAAAATTGCTGATTTGCTTATTACTTTTTTGTTCAAGAGAGACTTTATTTATTTATTTATTTATTTATTTATTTTTGTCACTAGACAATGAATTAAGCAAACCTTTAGTGAAGCTTAAATTGTGGTACAGTAATACATTTCCACTGATTTAAGTCCGACACCATGAAGAGAGAAATTATGGCACCAAAATTTTCCCTCCTCTATCATACACACTAGGATTAATTTAGATTACTATTCAATCTATAGCTTTCATTTTTCTAGGCTTTGTTCCATACAAATTTGTGCAGTTTTTCAACATTAAATAGAAATCTTAAATCTATTGGGTGGGAGAAATCAGACCTCAAGCCAATAAATGTTCATCAAGTCTACTGGGACACTGTTCAAGAACAAAATCCACTTTGATCATTGGTCCTCATAATAGCCCCAAAACGTTAGGTACTGTGCGCTAATTACACAAGCGGACTGATCCATTGATTGAAATCTTCTTCAATGAAGCTTTGAATCAACAACATGTTTAAAAGTCAAAAGTGCTCCAACCACTTGATTTCAAACCAAGTAGAATTTATGTTTAGAAACTCTAAAAAAAAAAGTGTTCCATTTATAAATACGGAAGGAACAAAAACATCACTGCATCAATCCAGAAAGAATCAAAAATTGTTTGAGGACAAGAAGAAATACAAAACTGAGTCAGCTTTGCTCTTTTCTCAGCTGCTTAAATGTCCATATTAGCAAATACAGCTAAAAGATGCCAACTCTTTTAAGCCTGTATTTCTAGTCATTTCCCGTTGACCATTTTGGAATTTTGTGTGTTATGTTTTATGGACAGCATTCTGCTTCGCTGTGTAGTATGTCTGGATGACCTGAACAGTTCTCGTTCATCACCTGATGCTACTCCATGGTGGAAGAAATACCAGTAAGAGGAGCCGTCAGAACGCTATCACATGCATCACAAAGTCACAGACCTTTTTTAAGTCACAAGATGGCAAAGACATCGATTCTGCCTTGGACCAAAGTTCATGGCATATCATTAATAGAAATTAGTGGAAATGGCTACGAAAGTAAAAGTTAAGGTGAATCATCTGAGCTAACTTGACTTGTTGAATCCAATACAACCTTTATCTTAAATCTCCTTGCCAAAAAATGTAGCGATAATTCTTTTATACTACTACTTAGCAAGTTAATAAAGGCATGGTACTCATGAGAAGCTAATTTCATTTAATGGGGGCCATAGAATGGCATACAGTTTCCATACAGTTCTGCCAATATTCCCTAGTATCAATCTGTACCTTCTTTGCTAGTCAACACCAGCTTATTCAAAAAGAGCTCATGGTAATGAAAAATGCCAAACTCCCTTGACCTTAAAAGAAAATTAAGTCCAGTGTCCATCCCCCCATTCCCACTCTGGGGTGTAAGGTTAGTGTAAACCCACAGTGTAACAGTGTATTGCTTTGTGGAGGGGCTGTGGTTGGGAGGGAGACACCATGGTGAGGAACGAATCAATTAAAGTAACACAAGTATAGGAAGCAGTGAGATAGTAATACACGAAATGGATAACTGCAGTCATTTTTGTAGAGGACTCGACTCGTGGAAGAAGAACTTTGATTGGTGCTGCAAAAACATCTGTATGAAGTAGAAATTGGTTTCAATAACATTAGTAGAGAATATGTTCTAGAAAGTGGAGGTAACTGGATGCAAAATCCTGGTAGCAATTGAAAAAACAGTCCCAGATGGCTAGGCTGAGGCCAACACCTAATGAGGACGAAAGCCTTGTCTGTGTGGAATTTTGGATGATACCTGGAGAAATATTACACTGTGCATAAAGCAAATTGAATTGTTTTCACAAGTGTTGTAAAGTTTCAAATAGTGAAAGGTTTTTTCTACATGACTTCAATTTCACAGCAAGAGTGGCATAAGATACCTAAACGCAGAAAAGAGCATTCATGCAAGATATCTAACTCCTTGATATAATAATGCATACAAATCAAAATGATTACACTATCATTACATCTAGGGCTTTCTGCACCTACAAGGTGGTGGTTATGGAAAGAATGGCCCTTAGTATCAATATCTAAAAAGCAGCCACCACCTTCTTCTGTGTGTGTTCTCTTTTTGCATTTTTTCTTCATTTTTCTCAATCAACTCTGCTGTTGTTGCTGCTTCTTAGCAAAACTGGTAAAAACAAAATTGTAATCATTGAACATAGCGCTCTGGCAATCAAGACGTTTAAAACCTCCAATCTTCTGGGGCGAAGAAAGCACTGTGCAACATTTAGAACTCTGATTTACAAACAGCGTGGTCACAAATTTTCCAGGCTTGAAGACTTCCATAAGTTTCCCGATCAGGTCATCATAGGAGGTCTGACTTAAGTTTGTTTCAAAGCTAACATAAGAAAATTCTGGTTCTGGAGTGACGTGAATAGTCCAATAAGTTCCATCCGATTTCATTCCATTCATTGAATACCCACAAGGATTGAACAGTGTGGCATCAATGACAGAACCTGGTATCAGGTCACGAATTCCACTCTCACGAGTGACATCCTTTGCAGTAACACCATCTTTCCTGTAGAACCGGTCCATAACCGCTGGGTCAATCTCACTCATCAGAATTTCCAGGGTTTGATCTGGCGGATTGATTACCCGACTTTCTGGGAAATCCAAAGTATACAAGTACCAACAATCAGAATTCATGCGTCCCATACAATATGCTGCTCCATTTGGGAGAATTGCATTAAGAAACTCTGTTTCTTCCTGGAAATTCTGGTGTGGGTACCCTTGGTGAAAAGGCTTCGTGAAATTCTTACCAGAGTAAAAGAAGCTTTGAACTGAGTCAAACCCCTTGTAATCCCTAGCAAGTTTCAACAGGGGAACCAGTGCTTTCAGCAAGAGAGTGGTACCACGTGTCTTCAAAATGAAACGTTTCCTGGAGACAAACATGCTACTCTCACTGGGTACATAAGCTTCCTGCTTGTCAGTTTTTGTCACACTTATGATTGAACATTGCACATCCTTCAAAAGTATTTCCCACTCGGATCTTGGGATGGTGCGAAGATCCCCAGATCCTTGGTTTGCGTTGGGTTGCTGCCTGGAGAACCAAACCTCCAGCAGCTTTTCGGTTCCTTCAGAAAAATGTGCATCTTCCATCACTGTGAGACTAGCGAACGACCAACAGCTACAGAAAATCAACTAAATTAAATCTCTTCTCCCACCGCTGCCGATTGTTCCAGCTGTGTTACTAAAGTTCAGGTTCCTTTTTTGCTATAATCTTATATTAACTTATTTTTTAAAAGGGTTAATAAAATTTTCCCGGCTTTTTTTCTTTTCTTGTTTTGGTGAGCGAAAGTTGAACGTGAGTCTGTTGGAAATAGGGGCAGATACAGCTCAGTCTCTTGTAGTCCTCTGTTTCCCCATAAGAGAGAGTAGAGCGAGCGCTAGCTAATGTCACCAGCCATACTTTGGGAGCTAAAGAAAGACTTTTAGAATCAGAAAGATAACTATTGCTCAGCCATTCAACTTAAAGATATTTAAGTGTTTTAGTTGGCTTATAATCTGATTGTCAAAGTTTAAAACATTTTTTTTAGTTAAAAGAATTTTAAAGCAATTTCCTCTACCCACCTTGAAATTGATATATTCTTTCCTATTCTCCTTGAGTGGTATTTAAAACAATTGGATTTGAGGTGCATGGACCTAGAGCCTGTCATACAGAGTGAAGTAAGTCAGAAAGAGAAAAACAAATACTGTATGCTAACACATATATATGGAATCAAAAAAAGGTTCTGATGAACCTAGGGGCAGGACAGGAATAAAGACTCAGACTTAGAGAATGAACTTGAGGACACGGGGAGGGGGAAGGGTAAGCTGGGATGAAGGGACAAAGTGAGAGAGTGGCATTGTCATATGTACACTACCAAATGTAAAATAGATAGCTAGTGGGAAGCAGCCACATAGCACAGGGAGATCAGCTCGGTGCTTTGTGACCACCTAGAGGGGTGGGATAGGGAGGGTGAGAGGGAGGCACAAGAGGGAGGGGTTATGGGGATATATGTATACATATAGCTGGTTCACTTTGTTATACAGCAGAAACTAACACAAAATTGTAAAGCAATTATACTCCAATAAAGATGTTAGAAAAAAAAAAAGGGCTTCCCTGGTGACGCAGTGGTTAAGAATCCGCCTGCCAGTGCAGGGGACACAGGTTCGAGCCCTGGTCCGGGAAGATCCCACATGCCACAGAGCAACTAAGCCTGTGTGCCACAACTACTGAGCCTGTACTCTAGAGCCCGCGAGCCACAACTACTGAGCCCACATGCCACAACTGCTGAAGCCCACATACCTAGAGCCCGTGCTCCGCAACAAGAGAAGCCACCACAGTGAGAAGCCCACTCACTGCAACGAAGAGTAGCCCTCGCTCGCCGCAACTAGAGAAAGCCCGTGCGCAGCAACAAAGACCCATTGCAGCCGAAAATAAATAAATAAATAAATTTATTAAAAACAAAAAACAATTGGATTTGATGTTACAATCATTCTATCATTAGAACACTGGATCAAATAGTCCTTTCATTTCATTTGCTTCACAGATGATCACCAAAAAATACTCTTGTCATCAAGGCCTTATAGGTATCTGTGGGGTTTTGTCCACCTGGTACAGAGTTGGCAAGTTAAAGAAGCAAAGGAAACCACACAGTGGTGAGTAAATGAGTTTGTTTATGGTACTTGTATTGTGGTTGAAGCAGATAAATGGCTAGAGAATAATAGTTACTTCCCTTGACTGGGGATAGACCCTGTGGCACATAGACTTCTGTGAATTCTGCTGGGGCTAGCTACTGGGTCAGCCCCCATCTCTCTAAGGAGGTAGAGGTTATGATCGTTTTCAGAAGAGAGCTCTGAAGTTCAGGGCTGTTAAGTAAATTATTCTGGGTGACACAAATCTTGTATTTCATTGAATTTCAGACGTCATCGGTTGTGAGACCCGCTATGATTTTATGTGCCACTAAGAAAACAGAAAGTACTCCTACAACCGTAGCACAGTGATTATTTTATGCCTTAGAATTTTTATTGGAAAGGATCTTATACTTATTTTGGCATTGATTTCGCTCCTATGTATCTCTTGTGCCTATGTAGAAAGAAAAGTAAAAATGAAGTAAATTGGCTAAGGAATTTACAAAACTTCATTTTCAGAGTGTGACTCTTATGAATTATTTTCCAACTTGAAGTCTGCAATATTCATGTTTCGCTGTGCAGGCTCATCCTCTGTGCCATCCAGAGCATGGGTGATGTAGCATTTCCTAAAAGGTTCCTCCACGACTATCTCTAGAATTCCCTTCTGGGCCGTTCCACGAGTTTTATGCCTGTCTGCAGGCAATGACTACTATGGCCAACGACTGCTGGTCGGCAGCGATTCTAAGATGTATTTTGATTTCAGAAATATTAAAATGTGGGTAAAGATGCGTCTTTAGGTTCATACTGAGGTCTGTCTCTCTCTTATCCTGGACACGAAGGAGGCTTTTGTCTTCTGGTTCCAGAAGTTGATGTTTTACTCCAAAGGGCAGGAGCAGGTCCTGGGTTGGATGTGCACTTCAACTTCTTCAGCTCCTTGCCTGTCTCTCACTAGATCGCTCAGATCTCCTATGTTCCCTTTCAAACCTCTGATGAAGGCATCTGGGTGAACCTTTGGGGGAAAAGGAAAATCCAAACCCAGTAAAGAACTTGTTCTGAACTTGTTCCCTTTCAACCCTCCCTGGTGATTTCAGGGAAAGTTCTCTGGAGCACACAATTCCATAAACATCGACATTTCGAGGATATGAAGATTCTGCTGCTCCGTTCTGAGCAAAGAGGTTGGTTAAGAAAATTGTTATGTTTTCCAGGTGCAGAGGACAGTCGCTCTGAGGAAGGGACTGTTCTGAATCTTCTTGGGATGCTTTAACTGGTGTTCGTAACCTACTGCTTGTAGCTAAGTTGGGCTGAAAATACCATAATCTGTTGGGGGAGAAGAAACCTCATGTCTGTAGGTTTTAGGGGATAATCTACATCATCATAACGCAATCTTAGCACATAATTCAATCTGCCTGGAGAGGTGAACTCTTTGCCTAACACCCAGAAGGATAGATCACACTAAGGAAGGTCACCCAAGATGCTCATGTTCTGTGCATGAAAATGCATCTGTATATATTTTCCATTTTGCCATTTCCAGTTTTGACTACCAGAGTTTGTTTGATTGTTTTATGTTTGGGCAGCTAGGGACTGAGATATTTCTTTTCTGTTTGTTTCTCCAACTCTTTTTACAGTTTAACAAGTCAAATACAAATCTCAGGGGACTTCATAAGCCTCGTGATGGTGCTGTGAGTAGCATCCCATTATTGATTGCAAATACTGCATTGGAATGCCTCGGAAGAGCCCCAAACCAAAACTTTCAGATGCCTGAAGCTCTGAGCTTTCCAGTTAGGCTGAAAGTTTCCCTTGATAACCAGTAGTGCTGAAGCTTTTAATATTGTGTTGGTCTATCCGTTCTCAGCAACGTTTTCTAGTTATGAAGGCCAGCGGATCACTTGATGTCAGCGAGGTAGCTCATCCGACCCACTTGCATGCTTTCTGATCAAATATGCTACCTGAAAAAAAAAAATCTTCAGCGTCACATAAACTGATCGTAAGTGGGGGCAATTCTTCTTTCCCTTCTTCAATGCTATATCCTCCTGTGCAGCCTATTTTGCATCCGGAGATACATTTGAAAGTCGAAATCCCTTAGAGCTAAATATTCTAAACTGACAGAAGAATTTCTAGTGGCACACCAGCCTGGAGCCATGTTTTTATGAGGACATCACTTTCTATTTCTAAGCTTCAGTGTGCACTCTTGCTTCCTTATTGCTGGGAGCCATGCCACATCAACTTGCCTCCCTCTCAGCTTTTAATATTTTTTTAATGGAATCCAGTTTTCCACCTAAGTTATGGCTAGCCTTCTGACAAACCGTCAGACACCTAAGTAACCAGAATGGAGGTGTCCAGATGTGACATGGGGGGAAAAGGCAATGGTAAACTTTCATGCCTTTGAACAAAACCATCTTCTAAGAATTCATTTTTACCTGGCCTCTGGGTTTGCCACAAGGCTAAAAGGGGCTTAAGAACAACATTTAAACAATTAATACGTGATCTGAAGTCTTTTCTTGTAAGCCACAATCTAAAGTAATCATTTCTCAATCTGGCTGCTGTGGTGAGTGTGTTGCCTGAACAGTGAACTAGCAGCACTGCTGCATTTTTTTCTCAAGCACAATATTGCTTGTGGAGCACTGAAGTTAGTTAGCTAATGGAATAAAAGCAAGCACGCTTTGCAGGTAGCTGGTCATTTAGAAGAACTTAAGAAAATAATTGTAAATTACAATGAATGATGAATCATTGCAGATGCAAATTCATCAAGGAAGGTGGCATTTCTGGGATAAAGGAAGAAGTATATGTTCTTGAAAGTCAGCAATTTGGGTGGCTTTATGTCTACAACTTGGAAGACATTTGCAGAACATTTGGTAATTAAATATGCCCTCAGCTGAGAAATAATGCTCTGGGTTGTCTTGCAGGTAAGTAGAAGGTAAGTGTTCTCTCTTACCTGGGTTTTAAGAGTTCTTGGAATCCCATGGGTATTCCAGGTGTATACAATCTATACAATAATATGAGTAAATGTCCTGGCTAAGAAACAGGCAGAATTCATCTTCCTAGAGTCACAACAACTGAGTCTTTCTTGAGATTCAGGGTTCAGCTCAATATCTTCCCCTCCCCCCCGGAGCCTTCTTATCCACATTAGCCCACTTTGTGTCATCACCTTCCTTTATTTTTATTTCGCCAATCATTGTCTGAAATGATTGTCTTCATTTGTTTTCTGGTTTGTGGATGTCTCTGCCTGGTAGAAAATCGCTCATTGAGAGCGGGATGTTGTTATCTGTCTCCTTCACCACTGATTCCCCAGCTCCTAGAAGCAGTCCCTGGTACGTTGCAGGTCTTCAATAAGTAAGGAATGAATGAATGAAAGAATGAATGAAAGGAGAATTCTGACTACAGTATAGTTCCAAAGAGAGTTATAGAACATTGGATGGTTCAGAAGCTGGGTATGAGATATGGCTGTATATGATGTCTAAAATGTAGTCTAATGAGGTCAGGGGTTTTCTTTTTCTTTGTTTTTTGGCCGTGCCCTGCAGCTTGTGGAATCTTAGTTCCCCAACCAGGGATTGAATCCGGGCCACCATAGTGAAAGAACAGAGTCCTAACCACTGGACCGCCAGGGAACTCCTAGGAATTTTCTTTATACTTGAAAAGAATCCCTACAACACCAGGCACAGCATGTGATATTCCATACCGTTGGAGGTGGGTTAATGCAGAGGTCTTGGGGAGATGACCTGGTGTTTCATTCATTCCAGGGCTGTTATAGGGGATGTGCTGGGAGGGAGGGGGTCCCTCTTAGAGTGCTCACTGACGGGGGGGCGGGTCGCAGGGATAAGACCCCCCCCAATAACAATTTACCTGGATTGACAGGGACCATCCTCTCCAGTGTGGAAATTCCTTGAACAAAGCTTGCAATTCCTTGGATAAAGCCTTTGCCCTTGGACAAAGGATAGGTAAGTATTTTAGTGATCGATTAATATTTTGGGCGCTTTCAGTTAAAGCAGTCCTTGCCGCCTTTTATACCGGTAAAAACTGTTCTTGCCAAAAATGCAGTTTGGCTGATGGAATCTGATATTCGTTAGAAAGATTAGTAACTTAAAGAAAAGTACTTCTTTGAATTTGATGTATTTTACAGGAAGGGGCCTAGTTTGATGTTGCCCAGCTTAACTTTTCATCCAAATTGCCCTTGAGGAGTGTTTTTTAATCTGATGCATTTTTATCCCTATCTTCTGAAGTGGCATTTTTTTTTTTTTTAACGGGAGGATAGAGTAACGTGGAAAGCAGCTTTTATTCACTCTAAGGACAACAAACGCACATACAACCAAGGGCGGGCAGAGTTAGTCTCTGGGTACATATATTAGCCTAAGGGTGTCATGGGTGCCTGTGTGTTACTCAGGAAATTCTTTAAAAATAATTACCTTGCGATTAGTATCTGATGCCAATGGTATATTTTCACTTTAAAAGTCAGAGGTCTTTATTTCCTTGAGACAATGAATGAACTTCTTTTCACCTTGTTCCTGGCTGCTTTTCTGCCTTTATCTTAATATAGACACACTCACCCAGACACGCACGCTGGCCGACTGCCCCCTGCCAATGGTAGATTTTCCAGTGAAACAGTTTCTCTTCATATTATAATTCCAGTCTAGTCAAATTAGAAATACCGACTTATCTCCCTTTTATATTTAAGGTGTATATTCTCTTCCAGGTGGTGTATAAACAGAAAAATGGTATTAACATTTTCTTATGGATTCTATCTAATGCTTCCGTTGGGTCCAGCTACCAATGGAAGCCAACTGGAGGATGAGTTTACAGGTTTAACTAAATGTGGGAAACAGAGACATGAAAGTGCTCTTCCCAGCTAAAGCTCATTAATAAAATTTTGGTCACGTTCAAAGACTTCAAAAATGAGTTTGGGGGCAGTTTTGGGTCCAGCCTTTAAGCACCAACCACTGCCTGTCTCTCCTGTCTCTCTCATCACTTCAGTGGTTCCAAGAGGACAGTGGATAATGTATGGCTGGTGGCAATGACTGCATTGTAAACCACATATGTAAAAGCCGTAATAGATGGCTTTGATGTCCAAAAGCCACAGCCCACCAATCCGAAGTCAGAGTGACGGGTTAGGAATTGTCAGTCTATCGTTATTGGCTTTTCAAAAATAAGGAGCTGGGACTTCTCTGGAGGTCCAGTGGTTAAGACTCCGCGCTTCCATTGCAGGGAGTGCGGCTTCGATCCCTCGTCAGGGAACTAAGATCCCGCATGACATGGGGTGCCACCAAAAAATAAAAAAATAAGGAGCTAATGAAATCTGCTTCTAGGGAGGGACATATATGTTAACGGACTATTTTGGAAAAAAAAATTTATGTAAGTGTCCCACAGTATTGGACTTATTTGAAGTATTTCATACATGTTTTCTAAAATAGAGACATGCAGGGAAAAAAAGGGCGTGCCTGGGAAGCTGGTAGGGTCAGTGCTGGAGTTCTCAGAAGGTAAGGTACCGCCTGCTAGAATTTGTCGTTAAAGTGTTTCATTATGTTTCGCCCTGAAAAACAGGTGAGAGAAGGAAGAATCTGGAACAAGGGAGAAGGGAGGAAGAAGGATGGGGATCACGAATATGGCCAAACTGGATTCTCCTCTGTAACTGGGGAGGAAAGGCTTCCCTTAAGAAGCTTGCATGTCATATTTAACTGGTTCCTTCCTATAACATCTTGACTTAATAAAGAGACAGGCAAAAGGGAAAGAAAAGAAAAATGAAAGAAAGAATCCGCAGCAAGACAATAAAAAGTTTCCCCCTCACACCCACCACCTTGGGAGTTTTGCCTTTGTGCCTCGTGGCTTATCCCACTGAAACTCATCAGTTTTTGCTTTTATGCTGGAAACGCCCCAAAAAACATTTGAAGCTTGCTAGCCACCCCTTGGGGTGAGAAGGTTTCACAACGTGTCTCCAGGGAAGCCCAGGGGGCCAGGGTAGGGGAAGAGGTGTCCTTCTCTCCCTCGTGGGGGAACAAAGGACAGAACCTCAAAGTTCTTGCCCCAGTGTGTGACCTTGGGGCCGAAGGCAAAACATTTTGTCTCTGGGTCCTAATGATATAAGCTCCCCCGGCTCTGCAACTGCGCTCTATGATGTGACCTGAAAGCTTTGATGGAATTACTATTGCCTTCTCTTTCTCTGCCCAGCCATTTATTATTCTGTATATTTTCAGGAGCTGTGGGAAACTTTCATAACCAAGCCTAAGCCAGGCGAAAACTTGTCCTATTTGGAATTTGTAATGAAGTCAAAACATGGCCTGGATTTTCTGAAAGGCTCCTTTGGCGGCCTGTGACAGCCCTAGGGCACAATCAGACAGGGCTGGAGAGGGCCTGGGAGCAGATTTTGTTACCAAGAATAGGACAGAACAATATTTGCCTCCAAAACACTAGGGCTGCTATTTACCTCTCAGCTGGAAGAAGGGAGAGATAAATGCAGATTTCACATAAAGTGCAAATACCAATTCTTTCATTTCTAATTTTCAGGATTTTTTTTTTTCCCCTTAGCTCCCTCTAAACAAAAGGCTAGGGAGAATTTTTAGCATATTTGATTTCCTGACCTAAGGGAAGAAATTCTTTATTTCAGAACTTTTGACCCCCAAAGAGCTGTTACTTTGCCTGAAAGGCTGAATAAAAATTGTTAGACATTTAAAGCAGTTGTGGGTTTTGAGACTGCTTTCTTTTGTGCACTGTGCCTGTTGGTGTGTGCCGGATTGCAGGGAAATACTATGAAAAACCAAGTTTCGCTCAGTTTGGATGGAAAACTTTGCCTACTTTTCAGAAGCTCTCGCAAATTATTTACAGGCTTAAACCTGATCCCTCAAAAGGAGCCTCAGTCCCTAACAAAAGTGGTAAGTGGTAAGATGTAGTTCCTAATTTTTATTTAAGTCAAAGGTTAATAGTACAAGGGGGTTTGGTCCCTGAGTGTTTCAAGTTAATGTTTATTTTTTACCATCGTTTAAAGAATTTCCTAAGGCCCTTATTTCGCTGCTGAAAGCAGAGTAAGAGAACTCAGATTTCATGCCCCCAGGCTTGAATAAAGGACTAAAAACAGCACAACATTTGCATCTACTTAACAATCTCGGTTCTAAGAGCCCCCTCACAGTGAGAGGGGGAAACCGTATCTGGAGGTGAAATGAAGCTATTCGGAGATATTTGCCAAAAACACAATTCAGAGAAAGATAATCATTGTCAGAAATGACCTAGGAATTCAAGGCCTTATGATTGAAAACAAAAAGCTGAGGAAGGTGCATTCTCTTGCTTCCCCCGCCTGCCCAGATATCAATGAATATCAGTTAAAGGTGGCTGAAGAACCAATTTCATGCATCTACTGTAGGAGGAAATGAACTGAGCCGAGGGCAAAAATAAAATTATACAAATGTTATTATAGGCTAGCTTGCTTCTGTCCTAGTTTAATTCAAATTTTAGTGCTGCAGGCTTGGCTTCAGGCGTTAGCCTTCCTGAATCAATCAACATTTGCTTACATCTAAATTATTAGGGGAGCATGTGACTTTGTTTATTGTATAAATTATACGCAAGGTTAAAGCATTAACTGTTCAACCGGTTTTGTTCATTCACCTCACGGACCCTCCCCCGCCCCAGTCAGCCCTCCCCCAAATAGGAAAGAAAAATCTGAAATTACGAATTTTTTTAGGCAAACGCAATAACAGAGCCGCAAAGTCTTGTGAACCTGAGGTTGTCGGCTAAAAGTGGGATGGGAGACAATCTTAATGGTTAGAAAAAAGGAAAGAAAGGAGCCCAAGAAATTGTTCACAAGAGCCCTGGGAGAGTGTCTGCACAGGGTGAAACCGTGATATGGTAAATAATCGGTTAAGTTGATTAAGACAGCCAACCAAATGGGGATAATTTAATATAAAACTAAGAAAGCCTTTTGGCTAGGGTTTCAGTAGGCAAGGAATTTCAAACTATATGGCAATGCTGGACTCAAACTTTTTTTTTTTTTTTTTTGCGGTACGCGGGCCTCTCACTGTTGTGGCCTCTCCCGTTGTGGAGCACAGGCTCCGGACGCGCAGGCTCAGCGGCCATGGCTCACGGGCCCAGCCGCTCCGCGGCATGTGGGATCTCCCCGGACTGGGGCACGAACCTGTGTCCCCTAGCCTCGACAGGCGGACTCTCAACCACTGCGCCACCAGGGAAGCCCGGACGCAAGAATTTTTATTGCCTTTATCTATTAGAAGACACAGTTAAACATAGATCCTCTGGAAAATGTATTTAAGAACAGGTCTTTTTGTTTTTTGTCTCTGCACATCATTGTGAATGCTTCCTGAAAGCTCACTCATACATGTTTGGGAAATAAGGATGGAGCTTAATAATTAGACAATTTGACTTTCTAAGTATTTAGACAAACTAGATACCAGGTGTGTTCTGCTTTGAGAACATTCAATTTAAATGAATATCAAGGGTTCAAAGCAGACAAACCAGAGGCAATTATTTGCTTTACAAAAGGTTCTTCTTTCTATAAGATCATCCACAGTAGGCTTCCCACAGTAATAAATTAATTTACAAAATTGTAGATTGAATTCAATAGAAAGATTAAATCTAGTCTTTTCCATCAATGTGTGTGTGTGTGTTTCTTTCTCAAAACTTATAGAAACACTGCAAATCAGAAGATTTTTGTATAGAATGAGGCTCCGTCATAAATGATTCGAATGTAAGGTGTGTTCAAGAGGAGAATCAATTTCCCATTCGGCCAACTCCTGATTCTTTCTATTTGCATCCTAAATTGGGCTTTGAGATCTTGGATGGTGGTTCTCCAAAAGTGATCAGTGGGCCATTGTCCACAGAATCACCCAGGCAGCCCAAGAATCTGCCATGTAACAAATGTCCATATGATTGGGATGCACGGAAACTAACATTTGAGAACTTCTTTTGCAGGACCTAATATGGAAGTCAACAGTACCGCTCTGTCTACTCTTTATTTCATGTGGTTTACATGCTCTCCTCTTCGTGGTGTCCCGGAGCTCAGCCCAAACTAAAACGGGCTCCCAACTGTAAGGCCTCCCAATCCCTGACCTTCTTTGCTTGGTCAAAGGCATCTTTGAAGCATACTTATTCACTCTGTAGTAGATCCTGATTTGTATCGAGAAAGTAAGCCTATGAAAAATCGCCACACATAACTACAATTCTATTTGAAATAATTTATCAGATGTAAAACTAAAATTGCTTTCCACCTAATCAGTATTTTTAAGAATTAGCTTAAAATTTTTAAGACAATTTTTAAAGGTTACACTCCATTTACCGTTATTACAAAATATTGGCTATATTCCCCATGATGTACAGTACATCCTTGTTGCCTATCTTACACCCAATTGTTTGTACCTCTCACTCTCCCACCCCTATGTTACCCGCCACCTCCGGTAACCACTAGCTTGTTCTCTGTACCTGTTAAGTCTGCTTAAGAAACAGCTTTTTAATAGCAGCATATCAGAGTGGAGAAAGCAGAGACTTTGGAATCAGACAATCCTGGTTTCATTTTCACCTTTATGGGATGTTTGGCAAAACTCGAACGTCTCTGAGCTCAGTTTCTTTGCCTGTGATGTGGGAATAATACATTGTAAATAGGCTGGGTTGGAGAGAAAAATGAACAAGATGCAAGAAGTGCTTGGGATGGATAATAATTATTATCATTCACCATTTCCAAATAGCTGTCGAATTCACAAGTGGTGCACATGAAAAGGAGAAGCAGTGGACAGCTGGGACACTCACTGCTGCTAAGGAAATATTGGGGAATTCCCGAGGTGCACAGAAAACTGCTGAAATCTGCTTACTTCCTGCCCAAACCTGGGGCCTGTAAGACCTCTCCCGGAGTTCCTTCTGGGAGGAGACAGACAGAGAAAGAATGTGTAGGAATTCCAGAGGGAAGCCATCCCAGATAACTGCTACAGCTAGTATTCTCCCAGAGACTCTGTGTTGCAAGACAGCAAATTTACCTAGAAATTCATGTGATGAAAACTTTGTACAGGAACTGAGAACTTTGGACCCCTGAAGACAGAGGGGCTAATAATTCTCTAGTATTTAGTGTAAATTTTTTCATAAAAGAGATATAACAGAGTAGGATACAGAAACGGCTCAGCAGGTGAAATAGACTTCAGATGATGAAATGAGAATAGAATACAGGGAAAGGCAAAAAAGACCTGGCTTAGGGGTTCTACAGTTCCCTAACTGAGCACCACTGAATACCAGTAACAATAGTGATAATGACAACTTTCTAGTGGCCTAATCCGGTGGAGAAAGTAATAGTCACAGTCACAGAATGGTATCTTTACTCCTGCTTAGAGATGTTATTCTATATATTTTCAAGTGTGTTAAATCATTTAACCATCATATCAGGCCTGTGAATTCGGTTTTGTTTTCAGCCTCATTGTCCTGCAAATATCTTGGGAAGTGTTTATATCTTGAGTCATGAAAAACACCCGTTGAATCCCACATTGTGTGTGAAATATGTCTCCATAACAGAGATTTGTTTTTTGCCCAATTTCCACTTACTATTTTTAAGGTAAAATGATAATCCAAATTCCCTTTGGGAAACCACGCATTCTCAGGCCACATGGTTTAAAAGGTATCATATCCAACCCTAGCAGCAGGGCTGGGTGCTGATTGGCCTAAAGAGATCAGCATGCTACTTTCTCCTTGGTTACAGCGATGGGTTCACCCACGGGCTGTGTGACCCAATCAGAGCTATGTACAATGAGACTGCTGTTCTTTCCCACGGGACCTGAACCTGGAAACACGTGGACTGTTACCACCTTGCTAACATATGTAGACCCAGAGTTAGGCCATTGAGTGGAAGAATGCAGAGCCCAGTTGAGAGATGGGCAAAAATGGGTCTCGATGACAACAATGGAGCCTAAATCAAACCATTCTGGAAGAGAATCCCATTCTGGACTTTTTAATTAAGTGAGCCCATAAATTCTCTTATGGCTTAAGCCAATTTTGGTGGGTTGTTTTCTCCTGTTCAACAGAAGAGCATCCTAACTGGGGAAGGATCTCTTTCTACCATTCTGTGCCAGGGGAGTTATAGATAGAGCTTGTCCATTAAGAGGTTATTATGCAAAACAAGGACAAAAATGGAAAACTGGCACATTATGGGCAATTTTATACTTTGAGAACATTTAAAGACGATCTCCCCAACATACAGCACATTCTGGAGAAGTTGCTAGTTACCTATTCTGACATTTGTTCTTCCCTCTTAAACTCCTGATTGTAACTGGTCATATGACCAACTTTTAAAAAAGACTGGCAGATGCCTTTGTGATTCAATGTGGCCATGGGACTAAATTCTAGCCAATGGGATTTAATTTAGGCAGCTCCTCCAGGTAGTTTTCTTAAAAGATAGCTGGCATGTACCATTTGCCTTTTTTTCTTTCTTCATCCTGCTGCCTGAAATGTGGATGTGATAGCTGGAAATCTAACTACCATCTTGTACTGTGAGGCCGGGGCTCAAATGGCAGAGCTATGTGCTGAAAGGAGCCTGGGTCCCTAAGAACTTCAGGGAGCAAGCCATTTAACAGACATCGTTAGCCTACACCTGAATTTTTACTTGAGAAAGAAATAAACCTCTATCTTCTTTAAGTCACCGTTAGTGTCAAGCTTTCTCCTATTATTTCTTTTTTAAAAAACTTTATTTATTTATTAT